CATGCTGACAAAAATTAAGAGGCCAGGGACCACAATTTCCTGCACCTTGCTCCTCAAGTGGAGTCTACTTAGATGCCATAATCCAAGAAGTTATATCGCTGGGCCGGTATGACTACCGAACGGGATCGAATCCCGTTGTTCGATTGCGGGAAGATTTGCCCACCTGATTCCAGCACGGAAACTATCCGTGCTGAGGAAGAATTCTTCACCGATGCGTTTTTCAAACATCGGTGGTACAAAGTCAGCCGTGTTCGAGACGGCAAATCCTTGGTGCAAGGATGGAATGCCTTCATCCATAACATCGAGTGCATTGGCCGTGAGGCCTGGCTCTCCAAACTTGATGCAGCTCGCATCGGATTTGAGAAGCGCAACCCAGCCGGGGCGCAATACAAGTTGCATTGAAATTCAAGAGAGAAAGGATTACCCTGTTTTTCGTGGGGGTGATTGGTGTTCAAGTTGTCTGGAAAACTCGAACCGTGCCCATAGGGAGGCCTTCCTCCCTAATGATCCCTACTGGAGGGCGCGCATCTCTTCCGAGATTGTCGAAGGGATTGGTAACTTGCAATCCCTGTACTCGCGTTCGGAGAGTTCATTTTCCGACGGCCCTTCTTCGAACGCAGTGGGTGGGTCTCTTCGTACTGCTCGACAAGACCAAGGACATCAACAATCATCAGGGCACGAGGCTCTAAGCTGTCCCAGGACGGTGCATAGCCATGACAGCGGACGACGTAACTCGTCTGGTAGCCCTTCACGTCGCGGCGGTTCGAGATACGCTCCACCAGAAAGCGCTGACCACGCTTGAGTCCACCAAATGATGTGGTGGAGGCGGGAACACCTGATCCGGCTCGAGGGTCGGATCAGCTTGATGTCAAGGAACTGAGTCGTGTAACGAACCAGTTACACGACGACTTGTCTCATGAAAGGACTCGACGTTATGATCTTCATGACTTATAGAGGACAGTTACAATTCCCTAACGCACGATCGTTCGGACGGTCGTGCCGCTTTTGCGTTCGCGCAACTTGAGAGCGAAAGTTCGAATCCTTCTTTTCGTAACGAGCTGGCTATAGATCATCAGGACATCGCTCAACTGCGTGAGCAGGTCTCTTCGCTAGTCAACCATACTGGTTCGTTGAAACGGGACCACTCGAAGGCGGTCTCAGATCTCGACCGCGGAGGTGTTCTTCGCATCTCGAAACAGGCTCGTAATGATAGTAAGGGCGGAGACGTCCAACGTGAAACGTAGGATGCGTACGCATCTTACGGGGCAGTTCAATCGTGTATGCGTTGCCCATTCGGCGCAACACACGAAATGGACCGATGTACTTGTGCAGTAGGTACTGCTGCCCACGTTTGTCACTGCGTGTTTTGGTAGATTTACTGTTGACAGTCTCCTTATCTAAATGTAAGAACATTTCATTTTCTTGTTTGTCTGCGTTTTTTCTGTTTAGCTATTGCATCTACAATAGAGTCTTCAACGAAGCGGACAACCGCTTCGCGAGCCAGTATAAATTTCTCTGCCATCGTTGTTTTTTTCATCAGTGAGGGCGATGACGCCCTCGCTTTAGCAGTCGCTGGTGATTATGAATGTACCAGCATCATCGTCATCATCATCATCGACATCGACGGGTAATGAGCAAGAACCAGAACGGTTTTTGTTCGAGCGAGTCCCCCCCCACTTAAACTAGAGTTTTTGATGGCAAATTTCGCCATCGGCAATATTCACTCCAGCTCGTAAACGAGTGGACATACCCTCGAAGTATCTCTTCGAGGACGCGGTTGACGCGTTCCGTCTGACCATCTGTTTCTGGATGGTCAGAAATTGACATCGTCAAACGTGTTCCAAGCGAACCGAACACGGATTGCCAGAACTCCGCTGTGAAGCGGGGGTCTCTAGCGGACACGAGTTCACGGGGTAACCCGTGAAGTCGGAAGATTGTATTGATGAAGACAAGCGCACAGCCCTGGGATGTGATTGACTCCGGTACAGCAACAAGATGTACCATCTTGCTGAACCGATCAACAAACACAAGAATACCAGTATTCTTGTGAACGTCTTTGGGAAACCCGAAGACAAAGTCCATCGATACGGACTGCCAACACTCTGCCGGAATCGGAAGAAGCTGCAAAGGTGCACGGGATGAAGGACTAGGCTTCATCTGTTGAAAAACTTCGCAAGCGAGGATGAATTTGCGCACAAACTCATACTGGCGAGGCCAGTAAAAGTCACGACTTACCGTGAGTTAAGTCTTTTCTCTACCGCGATGCCCACTTGTTGGGGAATTGTGACACTCATACAGGATGCGCAATCGCAAATCATCATAAGCAGACACGAGGTGCGTCGCCTTTAAATTCTGTACAGTACAGCCATACATCACGAACCGAGTACCGTTCGGTTGAAGAGCGGTATTGAGACGTCAGGCTTTACAAAGCTCGACTGCACGGATTGAATACGTAATCCATCAATCGCAGAAGAGACTCATCTTCTGCTTATGCTCTTCGCACGTCGTTGAGTAGATTCGGCGACGGAGCACTCACTGGTAGTTTTGTAACAGTGTGATCACCCCTACCGTTGGGTTGAGCAGTCGGCTCGAAACCGGGCCGACGCGAAAGAGCGTTAGCGACGACATTAATTCGTCCTGGTTTATACTCGACGGAGAAATCGTAATCCGCGAAGAAAGACAGCCACCTCGCTATTCGTTGCAAGATGTGTGGACTGCTTGTGGCCGTGCGTAACGACGCATAGTCTACACAGACGATGGAGGGCCTATCTTCTAAGAGATGTACCCGAAAATTAGCCAGTGAATATTTCATGGCAAGAGAATCCTTGTAAGGCACTGGGTAATTACGCTCAGCTGCTTGCAGCTGACGCTATTGATAACAGGCGACGCACTCAAAGCCGTCTGAGTCGTACTGCATTAACGCGCAGCCTATTGCAAAATCTCTGGCGTCACAGACCACTAGAAACATCGGTCTTGGTCTGCAATCGCCAACACAGGCGATTGTACCAAGCTTTTCTTGATGCCTTCAAAAGAGTGCTGACACTTGGTACTATATGACCACCTTTCGTTTCTCTTTAGCAGACGAGAGAGATGTACGGCGATCTCGGCGTAGTTGTGCGAGTACTTGTGCGAACACGCCGCCAAGCCAAGAAACTTTCGAAGTCCCTTGACGTCTACTGGCACAGGCCAGTCGCTAATAGCCTTGATCTTTTCCGGATCAGGGCGTACACCGATTTTACCCATGATACAGCCAAGAAGTGGTATTTCGTTCGCTGAGAATATACACTTCTTTCACTTCGCGAACAACTCATGCTCTCACACTAGAGTAAGAACCTTCCGGAAGTGAATTCTATCAACCTCCACGTCCGTCTTTCCATCCATCGCCCGGTTATGGACGAAGCCATCGCCAACGTAACTCGGTGCAAAATCGCGCACCGATCGCATAGGATTCGTTACACATCTGTTGAACGTTGCAGGGGCGTTGTAACGGGGCACCCTGAAGCTTGTACTGATGACAGTACAAGCTACTTGTTCTGATGACAGAATGAGGCGGTGCCTCGGAACTTCGCGTACACTCGTACGTGCAGAGGAAGACGGTAAGAAGAAGCGAGTACTTAGTTTAAGTAAAAAGTGGAACTGTATTTAGCATAGTTAATGTCTGTTATTAAACCCCCTGTTTATCCTCATCTGACTAAGTCTAAATACAAATGTGTATATCAACTATCTGCTCACCACTCATTGCGTGCGTCCGTCGTGGCACGTCTCGTTGGATGATATAATGGCCTGTATCAACCAATTAGGAACTACTCGTAAGTGCTGCAGAATCTTTGTCCTTACGACAATATTCTGTGAATACAACTCTTATAGTTGTATTCTAATAACAATTTCTTATAAATTGTTATGTAACGATTCACCCCGTTACATCACCCCCCCTTAACCAACAGTCACTTTAGTGACTGATTGACTGAATGGATACTCGTCCCAAATCATTTGGGACAGGGTTTGCACTTGTTGGTCCGAGTCCACTTTCCAACAATTCATCGCATGGTTAACAAGCCCATGCGATGCGCGAGCAAGGCCGCCGAGAGCGCGTCCGCACGTCTCTGTGCGGACGCCGAAGCAGAAACCACAGCAACTGATGTCTCATCGGTTGCTGAAGCGACTCAGCCTGTATCTCCTGGTAATGCAGACGCTCGTCATGAAGACACTCATGTCTTCACAGAGTATGAGCTCGGTGTCTCATACTCCCCTGATACGGAAGAGGGATCCGTATCGAAGGCGATCGAATCCAAGCCGCCTGCCAAGCGCTGCATGGATAATGCTACGCGTCATAGTATCTTTGGTTCATCTGACGAATCGGATGAATAATCGCCAAAGCGAAGGCGCTCGAGATCGCAAGACTCAGGCGCTCACAGTGGTGTCGGTTCTCCTATTGACACCACTTCGCAACGAGGTGCCAGTACTTCTGTCGGCACGTCGCAAGAAGAGCGGGACCGCAATGTGTTGCGTCTCGCTCCTGAGAAGAAGGCATGGATGCCTCCTAAATCCGTCATGGACTACTTTTCGGTGACGACGAGTGATCGTTATCGAACTCGATTGTTCGATTCATCAAGGTACCATCACCTTGACCCCAGTGCGAAAAACTATCGCGCTGAGAATGATTTCTTCATCGATGCTTTTTTTTGAAGCATTGATGGTACAGTGGGAATCACAAGCGGGATGGTTCCTCACTGCTTCAAGCGTGGAACGCTTACATCCATAACCTTGAGGATATAGATCGTGACGATTGGAACGACAAACTAATCAAAGCTCGTGATAAGTTTGAAAAGCGAACCCCGACAGGTGCACGCTACAAGCTGCATCGTCTTTCTAAGGAGAAAGGATTACCCTGCCTCTCCTGGGGAGACCCGTGCCCTTGTTGTGTAAACAACTCTGCGCGCGCACCTAAGGAGGCTTACCTCCTTACTAGCCCGTGGTGGCGCGTACGTACCTCTACTGAGATGTACGAAGGGATTGACAACCTGAAATCCCTTTACGACCGTGCCGGTAAAACTTTCTCCGGTGGTCCTTCTGCTACACAGGATGTGCCGCGTCGTACTGCTCAACCAGACCCAGTACGTCAATCATCAGTTGGGAGCGGGGCTCCCAAGTATCCCAGGACGGGGGATAACCGCGCCACCGCACGAGGTAACTCGTCCGACATCCGTTCACATCGCGGCGGTTCAACAGCTCCTCAACCAGATAGCGCTGGCCACCGCGAGAGTCCTCCAATGGAGGTGGAGGAGGAGGGAAAACGCTCTCCACACGATCGTGGGGGAGCGTGTGTCCCCGAGAGCATCTTTGATCGCGTAACTCATGCGTTGCGCGGCGACCTCGAGCATGAGCGGGATAGGCGTCTTCAACTGGCGGACAATGTCTCGAAGCATCGAGCTGAGTTTGCCTTTGCTCAGCTTGAGAGAACAAGAGGGATTTGACATCTCTGCGTGACGAGCTAAGGGTAGCTCGTGGGAATGTTGATCGGTCTCGGGCTGAGATAACTTCTCTTCAGGCCCTTGTCGATGCCCACCATCAGGAGCACAAGGCTCTCTGCGAGATGCTTGAGCGCAAGGGCGTTCTTCATCGGAAGAAGCAGCGTAGTGATGGTACGGCTTAAGCCGACCAACGTAAAACGTGGGATGCGTTCGCATCTTACGTGGCAACTCGATCGTGTATGCATTCCCTAGGCGGTGCAATACACGAAATGGGCCGATATACTTGGGTAGTACTTTACTGCTACCCAAGTTGGTCACTACATGATTTGGTAGATTAACCGTAGACAGTAGGACTAAGTCACCTTTACTAAATAAAAGAGTGTTTGCCCTACCATTCTTGTCAGCGTTTTGCTTTTGCTTATCCACCGCTTCAGCGATGGAGTCTTGCACAAAACGGGCTACCGTTTCACGAGCCAGTACGAATTCATCTGATGACTCGTTAGCTTCAGTGAGCTGTGAGCGCACTGCAGCAACATCAATCTTTTCGTTAGTGAGGGCTTCCGCACTCTCACTGGCATCATCTTCTTCGATATAGATGTTATCGATATCGGCATCAAACGCAATGACCTCATCGTCAGAGCGTGATGAGCGTGAACCAAATCGGTTTTTGCTCGCGCGAGTCCCTCCCCCCCTTAAACCAGAGTTACACTCTAGTAAGGTGGGTACACGCGGATGGCGTAAGCCATTCACTTAAAACGGTGTTTGTGTCGCGGACGTATGCACCGAGTTGTTAATGGCAACCTCTACCATTGGCAAGATTTTACTCCAACTCTTAAAAGATTGTACGCATCCTCGAAGTTTCTATTCGAGGACACGATTGGCTCGCTCTAAAAATCAGCAGTGAAGCGTGGATCTCTGTCTGATACGAGTTCACGGGGCAACCCGTGAAGTCGAAAGATGGTGTCAATAAAGACAAAAGCACAGCCACTCGCCGTGATTGACTCTGGTACAGCCACTAGGTGTACCATTTTGCTGAATCGACGACATTAAATCGTCCTAGTTTGTACTCTACCGTAAAGTTGTATTCTGCAAAGAATGACAACCACCGCGCCATTCGTTGTGAAAGGTGCGGGCTGTTTACTGCCGTGCGTAACGACGCATGGTCAGTGTAAACAATGAAGGGTCTATCTCCTAATAGATAGACTCTGAACTTCGCGAGTGCATAGTTCATGGCAAGGAGTTCCTTGTCATGCACTGGATAGTTCCCCTCAGCTGACGCGACTGATAGCAGACGACGCATTCAACGCCTTCAAGATCGTACTGCATTAATGCACAGCCGATTGCGAAATTGCTGGCATCACAGACCACATGAAATGGCCTGTCCTGATCGGAAATTGCTAGGACTGGGGATTGTATGCTTGATACCATCAAAGGAGCGCTGACATTTAGCGTTCCATAACCGCCTCTCGTTCTTTTTCAACAAACGAGAGAGGTGTAATGTCATCTCGGCGTAATTGCGTGAATACTTATGCAAATACGCCACTAGCCCAAGGGATTTTCGAAGACCTTTGACATCAACTGGCACAGGCCAGTCGGTAATCGCCTTGATCTTTTCGGGACCAGGACATACACCGTTCTTACCAACGATGCATCCAAAAAGTGGTATTTCGCTTGCTGCAAATGTACACTTCTTGAGATTGGCATACAATTGATGCTTTCGCATGATTGTAAGAACCTGTCGGACGTGGGATCTGTGAACCTCAACATCCGACTTTCCATTCATAGCCCGACTATGGATGAATGCGTCATCGAAATAACTCGGCGCGAATTCTCGTAATGGTCTCAACAGATGTGATACACATCTGTTGGACGTGGTAGGGGCATTTCTAAGCCCTTGTGGCATTACTAGCCATTCCCAGAGCATGCCGCTAGGCGTGCTAACTGCGGTATAGAGTATATCCCGTTCTCGCATAAGGATTTGATAGAAGCCATCCATCAAATACATGGACGAAAAGATGGTACTCTTTGACATACCATCAATGATTACGTCCTTCCTCGGTATCGGCGTCTGAGCCGGTACCGTTGCAGCATTCAACTTGTTACATGCATGCACTATCCGCCACCCTCCTGTTGCTTTTTGCACACAGAAGGTCGGAGAGCTATGTGGGGAAGTTGATTCCCTCACATGGCCCGCAGCTAAACGATCGGCAAAGAACTTGTCGTTCGCAAGTACTTGTTCACGAGGCAGTGGCCACTGCTTCATGACACAGTACTTCAAGCCTGGTTTAAGCTCGACCTTGTGTCGGATAACTTTATCCTTCGGTAATTCGCGCGGAACAGTTTCAGGGAAAACATCCCTGAATTCAACCAAATCTTCATAGAGAGAATTTGTCTTGAGCGATTCCCACGATTGGGAGTCATATCGCTCAACTCGTGTCTTTCCATCGAGGAAACTCTCGTCCATCGATGAACTACTGAGAATTCTCTCGTTCTCAGTAAACGTTGTTGCTGACCTTATGTCGGCTACACACTCGTCGTCAGCGACGAGTACGCAGATCTGCTTGACTTTGCCACTACGCAGATCACGCAAGAACCTTTTATGTTCGAGCGTTGGGAACTGAGTGATCTCCGAAGTCAACTTCGGAGGCGCAACCAGATCAAGTGTATGAGCGCCTACACTCGATCCGTCATTGACTATGACATTCAATGTCTCTGTCATTTCTTGGGGACTTATTCCCTCAGGCCTCGAAGGACTTATTCCTTCGGCTTCCCGGAGACTTATTCCCTCGGGTTTCGGGGAACTTATTTCCGCCGTATTGGTAATATCGAGACTTATTCCCTTAACTTCCTCTAGCTGGGGTTGCGCAACCACAGCGAGATCCTCTACGAAAGACTCTCCAGTCGATCTAGGGTTATCTTTTCGCTTAACCTGAGCGATCGATTCTTTCTCTTCTAGATGTTCCCCGCTAGGGATACATCTTTGTCCCAGTCCACCCGACTTATTCGAGTGGTGGACCTTCGGCGCAGCCTGTGTTTCCTCACAGCCGCCGGAACTTTGCTCCGAAGTGTAACCGTTTGGTACAATAAGGTTTTGTGCAGTCGTACTAACGACCGTACCACAAGTGAGGCCATCGCACTCACTCGTAGTACATCCACACGCTTGTGGACGCTCCAAAACGTTCATCAGATGGCCATCTGATGAACAAGCGGCAGGCATCGTTACTGTTCGATGTTGCCAGTTTTCTCGTGGTTCGTACCTTCTGAGCCACGGTATTCCAAGGAAGACATCAAATTTGTCATTCAGATCCAATACGATAAAGTCATCATCACATTGGGTATCTTCTAGCGTATAGTGAATCTTCACTATACGCTTCATGATTGTTACGGATGCGCCTGTCGCAAGACGTACCGTCATCCTCGTAGGAGGTGTGTCACACTCAACAAACTTGAAGTGACCATCTTCTAGCGATTGGCGTCGCACAAAATTGTTGGACGCCCCACAATCGACTAGAGCTCGAAAGGACAACTTATTCGTCACTTCGAGCTTCAAGGTAATGAGTGAGATCTCATTACCTAGAGCAGCAACGCACAACGTTTGTGTGTTGGGAGCAACCTTCATCAAGAGGCCTACAAATTCTCTTGACGTTGCTGGACCAGTAGGGTGCTCCGCACCTACTGATCCTGTTTGTTTTTTGACGGTCCATCCCGCTGTTGCGTCTTTGCACCAACAGCGGACCCGCGTCCCTGCCCCTTTCTCATGGGTGGACGGTCACTACGCCCAGTGTTGCAAGATATTGGACAAGGGGCACTACACTCGTAAGCGTAGTGTCCTGTCTTTTGACATCTGTTGCATCTCTGCAACTTCTTGTAGCCTGTAGAGCGAGCCTTCTAGCTCTCTACATAACAGAGTTCCATCGGCTCTGGACCTCCGTTGTCATATCGTCTCGGTTGACGATATGATGTCGAGCTGGCGCGAGCCTGTCTCAGACTGAAGTCTTCCTGCTCCGCAATGGAAATGGCTTGTTCTAGTGAATCTAGTTCAAGCCGGAACAGGTGAGTCTTGACGGGACCATCCGCAAGACCCTGCATGAACACCGAAACCAACGTGTGTTCATCCACCGGATTGGAACTTATACAGCTCGTAAGATGTCGTATATGTTGGGCGTAAGCGTGCACATCACGCTTACCCTGTTTGAGCTTCAAGAGTTCGGTTCGAGCCCTGAACTCAGCTCTAGGCGGTTCAAACGTTTGTCTGAGCCGCGACTTGAAGACTTCTAACGACCCAAACGCATATGGGTCGTGCAACTTGAGCCCCAGTGCCCAAGTCTTGGCACGTCCTGCCAGATTTGACTGGGCAAATGCAACTTGCATATCCCCGTCGTCGATGCGACGCGCCCTTATGGCGTCATCCAATTCGACGAACCATCTCAAGAGGGAGTCTTCTTCGACCCCCCTATACTTGGGGATGTCAATCTTCAAAGTCTCGGGTCGACGCGAGTGCATCGACCCGCCAACAGCAGCCTGCTGCTGTCTCAACAGTTCAAACTGTTGAGCACCCTGTTCTCTTAACAACTCTGCTTGTTGAGAACCTTGTTGGTGAAGCAAGGCTACTTTCTCGCGTTCAGCGTCAAGTTCATTTTGAATGCGCTTGGCGATAGTAGCATGTTGGGCATCTCTATTGAGAGCCTCTAGCATGACGCTAACAGCATGGATGCCCATGGTTGAACCCATTCGTTCAACCGCATCCCATTCGACATCGCTTAAATAGGAGTAGCCGTCACGCGTAGCGTGAAAGCTTTGGTCATCTTCATCATCCAACATGTTCATGTTAAATGTGAACGTGGTCCTTGGACGGACTACGAAGTGCTACCAGGTGTAACGGGGCACCCTGAAGCTTGTACTGGTAACAGTACAAGCTACCTAGTCTGATGACAGAATGAGGCGGTGCCTCGGAACTTCACGTACACTCGTACGTACAGAGGAAGACGGTAAGAAGAAGCGAGTACTTGGTTAAAGTAAAAAGTGGAACTGTATTTAGCATAGTTAATATCTGTTATTAAACCACTGTTTATCCTCATCTAACTATGTATAAATGCAAATGTGTATATCAACTATCTGCTCACCACTCATTGCGTGCGTCCGTCGTGGCGCGTCTCGTTGGATGATATAATGGCCTGTATCAACCAATTAGGAACTACTCGTAAGTGCTGCAGAATCTTTGTCCTTACGACAATATTCTGTGAATACAACTCTTATAGTTGTATTCTAATAACAATTTCTTATAAATTGTTATGTAACGATTCACCCTGTTACAGGCGTTACTTAGCCCCTGTGGTATCACTAGCCACTCCCAGAGCATACCACTGGGGGTGCTTACTGCTGTGTAAGGGATATCCCGTTCACGCATGAGGATCTGATAGAAGCCATCCATCAAATCCATGGACGAAAGATGGTACTCTTTGCCATACCATCTATGATGACATCCTTTCACGGGATCGGCGTCTGAGCCGGTACCGCTGCAGCATTCAATTTGTTGAACGCGTGCACTATCCGCGACCCTCCTGCGGCCTTTCGCACACAGAAGGTCGGAGAGCTGTGTGAAGATGTTGATTCCCTCACATGATCAGCCGCTAATCGATCAGCAAAGAACTTGTCGATCTCTGTGACCTGTCCACGAGGCAGTGGCCACTGCTTCATGACACAGTATTTCGAACCAGGTTTCAGTTCGATCTCATGCCGACTGCCTTGGTCCTCGGGCAGCTCGCATGGCACGGATTCCGGGAAAACATCCCTGAATTCGACCAAATTCTTAAACAAAGGATTTGTCTTCATAGACTCCCAAGATTGAGACGTGTATCGCTCAGTCCGAGTCTTTTCATCGAGGACACTCTCGTCCATCGATGAGCTACTGAGAACCCATTTGCTCTTAGTGAACACTTATGCCGACCGAATATCGGCGACGTACTCGTCCTCTGAGACGAGTACGCAGATCTGCTTGATCTTGTCACTACACAGATCTCGCAAGAATCTTTTAGATTCTAGCGTTGGCAACTTGACTACCTCCGAAGCTGACTTCGGGGGCGTAACCATATCAAGTGAATATGCGCCTACACTGGATCCGTCATTCACCAAGACATTCACTGACTCGGTGCTTTCTTTAGAAAACACATCCGCAGGTATTTAGGGATCTACACCCTCAACATAACTCTCTCGGGAGTTATAGCTCTCAGGAACGCTGGGTTTTCTTCCATTACGTGTACTAACTGTGGGTGTACTACCACAGCCACGTCCTCTTCGATCGACTCTCTTCTAGTCAATCGGGCTTGCTATACGATCGACTCACTGATAGTAGATCTTGCTTCAACTTGTTATTCATAATGAACAGCACTAATATCTCTTCTCGGATGCACCCTTCGTGGTGTGCATCCGTGTTCCAGTCCAATCGATCTCTTTGAGTGGTGGACCTTCGGCGCAGCCTGTGTCTCTACACAGGTGCCGGAATCTGGTTTCAAAGTGTAGTCGCCTTCTACACTGCAATCTCTTGCAGTCATACTAACGACCGTACCGCAAGTGAGGCCATCGCACTCATTCGTAGTACATCCACACGCTTGTGGACGCTCCAAGAAGTTCACCAGATGGCCATCCGATGAACAAACGGCAGGCATCTTCACGGATCGATGCTTCCAGATGACCCATGGCTAGTATTTTTTAAGCCATGGCAGAACAAGGATGACATCAAATTTGTCATCCAAATCTAGTACGATGAAGTCATCATCGTACTACTTTCCTTCTAGCGTGTAGTGGATTCCCACTACGCGTTTGTTCACTGTTACGGATGCGCCTGTAGCAAGGCACACCGTCATCCTCGTTAGAGGGAACTCTCGCTCAACATGGTTGAGCCTACTATCCTCTAGCGACTGACGTCGAATTAAACTGTTCGAGGCCCCACAGTCAACTAGGGCGCGAAGTGACATTCCACTTGTCACTTCGATCTTCAAAGTGATGAGAGACTCCTCATCACTAAGGGCAGTAACACACAGAGACTGCGTGTTGGGGGCAATCTTCGTCAAGAGTCCTGCAAATTCTCTTGACGTTGCTGGACCAGCAGGGTGCTCCACCCCTACTGACCCTGTCCGTTTTTGATGGTCCGACTTGCTGTCGCGGCTTAGCAACATGGTAGTACTTACGCCTCGGACCTTTCCTTGGCCAACGGTGGTCATCACGTGCTGTCTTTGTACTTGTTACGGTGCTTGGGACACTACACTCATGAGCTTATTGTCCAATCTTCTGACAGCAATGGCATCTTGCCGATCGCTTGTGACTCAGAGAGCGAGAGTTCTTGCTCTCGATGTAACAGAGGTCCATCGGTTCGGGACCTCCAGTTTCCTGTAGTCTAGTCGGGCGATCATTTGATGAGTTAGCCTGAGACTGTCTTAGGCTAAAACTTCTTGTTCCGCATGCGCTACCGTCTTTTTTAGCGTATGGAAGTCCGCTTGGAACATGTAGGTCTTCATTGGCCCATCCACAAGGCCTTAGGTGAGCACGTTGATGAGCGTGTGCTCATCAACATGGTTTTCCGTAACGCTACTCGCAAGGTAGCGTAGGTGCTTTGCGTAAGCGTGCACGTCACGCCTACCTTGCTTTAGCCTCAGGAGTGCAGAGCGTGCTTTGAACTCGGCTCTCGGCGGCTCAAACGTCTCTTTGAGCCGAGACTTCAATATCTCTATTGACTTAAACACGTTTAAGTTGTGAAGCTTGCGCCCTAAGGCCCAAGTCTTTGCTCGTCCTGTCAAAATTGACAGGGCAAAAGTGACTTGCATCTCATCACCCTCGATGTGACGGCCCTGATGGCATCGTCTAACTCGACGAACCATCTCAAAAGGGAATCTTCATCGGTCCCCTTGTACCTTGAGATATCAACCTTCAAGGTTTCGGGTCGACGCATGTGCGTCGGCGTACCCATCTAGTGATGAGAGCCTTGCTGCTGTAGCAAGGATATCTTCTGTCTTTCGACGGCAAGTTTCCCTTGTAGTAACTTGTTGATAGCAGCATTTTGCTGGTCTCTGCTTAGAGACTCCAACATACCACTGATGGCGGGTTCGCCCATGAGCACACTCATGCAGCTGACTACCCCCCACTCGGAGTCACTCAGATGGGAGTAGCCTTCACGTGTGACGTGAAGCTGTCGTCTTCAACGTTCAACATGTTCATGTTGGACAGGCACTAAGTAGTCGTTGGACGGACTACGAAGTGTTACCAGGTGTAACGGGGCACCCTTTGTCCGGGTGCCACGAAACTTCACGTACACTAGTACGTACAGAGGAAGCTAATCTACTTTAACGACTCATTTAAGTAAAGGTAAAAAGAGAACTGTAATTAATATAGTTAAGCTATCAATATAACTTTGATCTTTATCTAACTATATTAATCTACATTGTCGTATGACGACAACCTGCTCACATTCCATTACGCGCGTCTAGCAGCGATTGGTGGTAATCTATGGTTGATACATCTTATATTAACCAATCTTGGAGCAGCGCATGGATATTATCAAAGGAGGATACCATTCCTTCGTTATTATCCATCTAGGGTAATATTGGTAGAATAATGTCATGCGAGACAATATTCGTATTGACACCGTTTGGTGTCAATTTCATGTTACGGGCTACCCCGGTACAGGGTATGTAGATAGCTTCGTTTTGGGTGTTAAAGCTCGCTAGCGCTTTCCACAATATCAATGCACTATTGCTGCATAGCTACCAAGAAAAATGACTACTGCCACAAAAGCGCTACGTAAAGCAATTGTCTTGTATTTTGGTTTCTGAAGCCATTTGGAGCTTGCTGTTTCGTCAGAGTGAACTAGAGACTCGGCTTATCGGTTGCAGATAATTGCCAGTCATCAATGACTGCCTGATGGATTACTACGCTAGCAATGCCACTCGTACGATAGAGGCTGTTTTCATCATGCATCGAAGCCATATTTTAATCGTTTTGCAAAGTTGTCGTCCGCATAGGAGGGACAAAAACGACAACAAAGTAACTAAAGTTCGAATCAAGAGCTCTTGCGATGTCAACTAGTACGCCACATGCTACCAACTCCTGCCTAGGCATATTTTTGTTGACTTTACCTAACAAAAAGGCAGAGTCCCAGCAGCAACGTGAGCACGAACGTAGCAAACGCTTTCAGGAAAAAGGTGCGCGACGCCGAGGTACAACCAGGAGACAACTTTACTTCCGCAAGCAAAGCGGCGCTATCAATACACACTGCCGTTTTACTAGTGACACCGTCCTTCTGCTCCAGCTCCTGCTGCTTTCTGATGGAAACAAATTTCTTCTTTATCATTTCCAAAGCTGGTAAGACCACGTCACGACCGGTCGCCAGTTCAAAAACATCCCTGAATTCAGTCTCAAAATTCGTTTGCAACGGTGGCCTTGAAGCCAAATCGGTCTGTATTTCAACAAAGCGTCAAAAATACGGTTACCAGTGTGTACTGACCGTTAAATAGTCGACAGAACGCACCACGACAACGGATGTGGCTGTACACGACTGTACCACGAGACCAAGATCAAACACTCGTAGAACAAAACGATTAAAGATCCAATTGGGAAGGGGAAGCAGCACCATCAATGATCGCACTGGAAACAGTGTGGCAGCACCCGTATCCGGTTCAGAATCCCTGCTCTTACATCCGAGCTTATTATTTGCAGCAGCGACGCTTGTCTGCACAGCGCGAAATAAAGCATCCATTTCCATTAGTGCCTGGAGAAAAAGTAATCGTGCTTTCCGATCACAAAGTCCTTCAAGAACGCTCTTTCCCGTCAGCGCGTTGATATAGTAAAAAACCCGCAGCATCGTGCACCCCCACTTGATTGCTAGCATTTCATGCAGCACAAGTCACACGTAACGCATGTTTGTAAGCATCCGACAACAACTCGCACCTCGTGGCATTGCCCTACCTTGCACGTTTCCCCGGCTAAGCACTTGAATTCCCGTCCCTTCCAGCACATCAAGTGCATAAAGCGCACAGCTCTTTTCTTTCCTAAAACAACAACGACAACAACACAACCATACAGAGGAAAAAAACAATTCCGTGTGACAACGCACGAGTTCACACAGCTGCCCTTAACCATACAAGTCAACGTACGATAGCCGCTCAACAAAAAAACATCCATTAGACAGTGGTCTCAGCACGCCTTTTTCGTCCTTTACGACCTGAAAAGCAGCTCCACCATGCAGCACAATAGCTTCCGGCAATCTGCACCCATCAGATCAAACCCCGCGTCCGATCAGCCCAAAATGCTGAAACTTGTGTACCACACACACATATGGTGCAATAAAGGTTCATCTGCCATACGCTGCGTTCAGTGGTGCAAGACGCCGCAGAGTGGTCTGCAGACTCCACACCACGCGCTTTGGTCGATCCTGGTCCTGTCGCCCAAGTTTCTTGTGCAGCATCTCGGCGACAGAAAGCGTCACGTCCTTCTCGAGCATCAGGAGCCACAAGTCACAGGTTTCTAATTTCATCCAATCGTCCGTCTCCTCGTACGTCTCGACTGGCAGCTGACGACTGTAAAGTAGCGCGCCATCGCAGCGCAGCGCCATCGCTCCAGACGCGGTCGTGTCAAACGGCCTGGAAGCAAGTTGCTCCTCTTCTGTCCGTATACCCACGAGGTACGTCTTGGCAGAGCGTCCACTAGCAGCTACGCACAGTGCGACATACTGCGCCAGTTGCGTCTCCTCCAACGAGACGCTGCTCTCCCTGGTGTACACGACGCTCACGCGGGGCAGCATTTTGTCAAATGGGATCATGGCATTGTGTGATTGGCTGAAATGAAGTATCTTGTTGACCCACTTGGCCGTGGAACGTGTTTGATCAGATGTTTGTTTTTGACAATAGGTGCCCGTCTCGAGCGAATCATTGATTCGTCATCTTGATTTTGCACCTCTGCTGGAGGATGTCGGGAGACGAAATACCCACCATCGGTGATTGGAAGATATTTGTCCACACGATCCATCTCGATCGATATATCGACCAATCGGACGTCGACTCTGCCGCCACCTCGCCCCCTCCCGACGTGGCAAAAGGATTCCAGCATGGCGGGCGTGACGAACGAGCGCTACTGTACGGTGCTGCTCCAGCAAGTGACGGAAGAGAAGGCGGTGCCCCCGTCGCAGGATGAGATCCTCAAAGGCCTCGAGTCGCCCAAGGTCGAGCACAAGATCCGTGCCGTGAAGAGCGCGATTTTGGCGCTGTTGCAGGGCGAGAACCTCTCTAAAGTGTTGATGCACATTATCCGCTTTTGCTCGACCCAGAGCGACCATACGCTGAAGAAGTTGTTGATGGTATACTGGGAGATCGCGCCTAAGTACGAACAACCACCCCCAGCTGCAGCTGGTACCACTGGTACGGCTGCCCCACCGAAACTCTTGCCCGAGATGATTCTCGTGTGTAATGCCCTTCTAAATGACTTGAACCACCCAAATGAGTATATTCGCGGCTGCATGCTACGGTTTTTGTGCAAAATCAAGGAAAAAGACATCCTCGAGCCGCTCAAGGATGCCGTGAAGAGCAACCTCGAGCACCGTCACTCGTACGTGCGGAAGAACGCAGTCATGACGGTGTATACAATGTACAAGACATTCGGTGACGTGGTGATCCCGGACGCTCCTGAGCTTATTGAGCGATTTATTCTTAATGAGAGTGACGCTGGCGCTCGACGCAATGCGTTCCTCATGCTGAATGACTGTGCCCAAGACCGAGCAGTGACGTTTTTGATGAACGCGATGGACCAAGTGCCGAAGTTTGGTGACGGCTTTTCGCTCGTGATCTTGGAGACGACACGCAAAGTGTGTCGTCAGGATCCAGCTCAGAAGGCGCGCTTTGTGCGCTGTGTGTTCCAGCTGCTTAACTCGTCTTCGCCTGCTGTGAGCTATGAGGCAGCGTGGACACTGGTGACGTTGTCTGCGGCTCCGACGGCCGTACGGGCGGCTGCCAAAACCTACTGTGGCCTGCTGAACTCGCAGAGTGATAATAATGTGAAGCTGATTGTGCTAGATCGACTTGCAGATCTGAAGAAACACCATACAAAAGTGCTGCAGGAGATCGTGATGGATATCATGCGCGCACTGAGCTCGCCCAGTCTTGACATTTGTAAGAAAGTGCTGGAGATTGCAATGGATCTTGTCACGGTGCGAAACATCGACGAAGTCGTGACGCACTTGAAGAGAGAGGTGGTTAAGACGCAGGACAAGACGCGCGAAAAGGCTGGCGAGTACCGCCACCTGCTCATCAAGGCTATCCACGCTTGCGCCGTCAAGTTCCCCGAAGTCGCAAACGCTGTGGTGCACCTGCTGATGGAGTTTCTTAACCAACCAGATGGTGCTATGGATGTTGTGGTCTTCGTGCGTGCAATGTGCGAAAGTTACCCAGAGCTTCGCAAGAGCATTTTGCAAAAGCTGATGATATCGTTCAGTGACATCTCGTTGGCCAAGGTGTATCGAGTAGGGCTCTGGATCCTAGGAGAATATGCTACTGTGCCCCTGGAAGATGGCACAGAGAGCGACACGTCCATTTTCGAGGCTGCCCGCACCATTTTTGACGCTGTCGGTAGTCTACCGCTCGTTACGGAAGCGATGCTCAAGGCGTCTGCGGAAACTGTTGAAAATCGCGCCGATGACCCTGCTGCTGCTACTGGTGCGGCGTATTCAAAGCCTGTCACTAAAAGTGTTGTTCTGGCGGATGGAACGTACGCAACGGAGACATCTTATTCTGCTCCTGCTGCAAAGTCAGCGGTCGCAGAAGAGGAAGGTGTCCCAGGCCTGCGGCGTTTACTGCTGAGTGGCGATTTTTTCCTTGGTGCAGCAGTGGCTTCGACGCTGACAAAGCTATGTCTCCGTGTATCTAATGGTGATCTTGCAAATGCCACTGCTCACAATGCTGCAGTCAAGAAGCTTGTTGTGGATTGCACACGATGCTTGTGTGCAATCGTGGCCTATGGCCAATCCAAAGCAAGTAAGCACGAGATCGACCAGGACTCTGCCCGCCGCATCCTTATGGGTGTACGGGTACTGCTAGACCCCGCGAGTGCACAGGCGACGCACGCGATTATCACAGAAGATTGTCGTGCTGCGTATCGTAATCTTCTCGACGCACAGAAGGCACAAGAGGCGGAAGCTGCGCGTGCTGCGGCAGGAGGTGCTGAAGGCGAGCCAGTGAGTCAAGCAGACGACTTGATCAACTTTCGACAGTTGCGTGGCAAGAAAGCCTTGGGGTCAACTGATATTGACATCGACGACGGCGCTGACATTAATCGTGCTCTCGGTCAGCAGGGCAACGGTGCTGACAACGAATATGCTGGTGCGATGCGCCATGTGCACCAGTTGACAGGTTTTGCGGACCCTGTGTACGCCGAGGCCTATGTCACGGTTCATGATTACGACATCGTTCTGGAGATTCTAGTGGTGAACCGCATTCCCCAGACACTCACGAACCTATCGGTGGACTTGTCTACTATTGGTGACCTCAAGCTCGTGGAGCGCCCTCAGCCGCAAACCATCGGGCCACTTGACCAACGCACGATCCGCGCTAACATCAAGGTGAGCTCGACCGAAACGGGCCACATCTTTGGTACCATTGTGTACGATTCGGCATCAGGGGCTGAGAAGACGTATGTGAATTTGAACGACATCCACCTGGACATCATGGACTACATCAAGCCAGCCACGTGCACAGATAGCGCTTTTCGTGCCATGTGGGCCGAGTTCGAGTGGGAGAACAAGGTGGCTGTGCACACGGAGCTGTCGAATGTGTTTGAGTTCCTGCAGCACGTTGTTGACAAGACGAACATGCGCTGCATGACGCCCACCGCGTCGCTTGGTGGCGACACGAACTTCTTGGCTGCGAATCTGTACGCCAAAAGTGTCTTTGGCGAGGACGCGCTCGTGAACCTCAGCGTCGAGAAGCAGGACAGCGGTCGTATCGCTGGTTACATCCGTATTCGCAGCAAGACGCAAGGCATTGCACTCAGCCTAGGTGATCGCATTACAGCTGTGCAGCGCGGCAAGGAGGACCAAAGCAAGCGAAAGAAATTCCTTGCTTAGACGATGATGCGCTCGGGTAGAACGCACTGCTGCTGCGAACTGCGGAGATGGAGACGGATGCTAGTGGAGTTGCTGTCGCTGCAGTTGTAGTGAATGAGAGAGGATACAGGCTCGTGCGACACCCAAACTTTATTTTTCGTGAATCGTGAAGTCGCTTTTGAACAACCTTTTTATAGCCAGCACTTTTGGTCTCGTAGCGCGCATCAGAGCACCATTGATCGGCAGCTCCGTGCGGTAGATCAAGAACTATGTTTTTAGTGCTGCTCTAGCTGTAGCATCGCACACAAATTAGCGTTAAAATGTTGGAATACAGAAAAGCGTTATATATGCGAAGTTGTGGATACGAGTGCCATTCTTGTGAAGTCGTACGAAATACGCTAGCGGAATAGGGCACGTTATTCACAGTCCATTTACAGTCTACACGTCCTCACTTCTGCATTTCAAGGTACTAGCAAGTCTTGCCGTTATCAGGAGTCTTGTAATGGTCCTGATACCTCTTGTTCACAGGTACATCCTCCACAGGAAGATCCATACGCTCCTCCATTCTATCAAGCCGTGACATCACCTCCTCTATTGCCACTTTTTTGATGTGTCGACAATAGTGATGGTGTAGGTCTCGTGGTGGTGCTCGCCTTGTTGCCCTTGGCTCGTGTCCGTGTCCAAATCCGCAATGACGAGGTCGATGCCCCACACAGGGCCGTAGACCTTCATGTTCCCAACATCTCCATCCACCCACGGGAAGGAGCGATCGTCAGTGATTGAGCTTTCGTCAGCAGTCGAGACTTTGCGTTGATGATTCCTCACAACTACCTCGACACCGACTTGGACAGGAGAGAGTGAAAATGCTTGCGCTTCAACCAGGCGGGTCTCAAACCACTCACCAAGTCGCCTGGGAATCATCACTACAGGAATGCCCAGCGAAACATCCGTCACATTGTCACTGTTCTCGTCCATTCCACTCATAACTATCACAAGGTCGTTGTCTTCTGTGTTAACAATAATGACGCCCACTGCGCCCTGCTTGGCCGCATGACGCGCTTTCACTTCGAAGTAACATTCACCTCTTCGGATGAGCACCATTTTACCTCGGACAAGGTCCTCCTCCACATCAGGCACTTCGCCGCATGCAGTAGCCGGACGAGCAGCGACAAGTTCCAATACCGGGAAAGCATGAGATGATTGGAGCGTGTTGGTCGCACCAAAGCCAGCACCAACACAAGGTACTTCAAGCCAGGCATTGGGTTTGCCCTTCACATCTTTGTCGACGCGGGGCGACCCCTTTTCGTCATGCTGAGCTTCTCCTGGATAAGGCTTGTAGCCCACTTGAACACGTAATGAGCACCGCTGGTCTACCGACATATTTAGAGTGTCATCGACCTTGTACACGTGATTCCATGACAAGAAGGGCGGACCATGATTGTTGCTTTGTTCAAGCTTTTCTTCTCTTGACTCCTCGAAAGTGTACGAATCATCGTCACCATTGCTTGCCAGACCATCATGGGGCCCATATCCTATCATCACATGGCTGTCATCAAGAATGCCAGATGCTTCGATCCAATCGCCTGTCTCTACCCGAGTCACGCGCATTCGATTTGGTAGCTGCTCAACCCGAAATTCCCCCAAGTTGCTACCACCATACACGTACTGCACCGTATGATCATGATCCTTTTGCTCAGTCGAAGAATCGTCACGGGGCGTTGCTCGGTGAAGGCTTTTTCTCAACAACTCAAGCAGCTCACCGCTGATATTCTTTCTACCAAACTTCTGAAGTCTCTCCTCCATTGTAGGCGACAGTTCCTGCAGCACATCAACATCAAGCTTTTCATCAACTGTGGAACCAGCTATATCATTCCTTGCCGTCGCTGACAGCACATCCTTCGAAGTGGCCATTCCACTCGCTTCCGTGGCTGGTACAGAGTCCTTCGAGGGCAGAGAGGGCGGTGAGCATCGCGGTGTCAGTTCCATGACCTCGCCCTCGTAATGAGGAGAGAAACCAATCAGGTCATAGAACTTGGGCACTTCACATCGCATGACTAGCTCAGGCGAGTAGCGATTGCCGTACGCCGGTCCTTTATTTTTCACCTCTGCACCCGTCGCTTGCAAAATTGGCTCAACGACCTTTGTCGAGAGAAGTGGCAGTGGATGAGCCTCGGTCGTCATTACGTAATTGCCTTGCCGAAAGAAGTGCGTGGTGTTGAAAAGCAGGTAAAGATACTTGCAAGTCTCAGAAAGAAAGAAAGAAGGCATGTAGTCTTCCTGTTTCTTGGACTCAATGTCGGCAATACTTGCATAACCACACGGGGTCTTTGCGTATTTTTGTAGCGAATGAACCACATGCGCACCAGCACGCAGCCACGATGAGTCATTAGTGGCTTCGTGCATGTAAAACGTCGACTCGATGAGCTCTGGGCGCAGTGGATACCGGGCGCCACTCCCATCCCGCGACTTCACGGGTTTCCAAATTTCCACGTTGAACTGTTCCGGCAGGAATCCATAGTCGCGCCAGATACGATAAAAAGAGTTCATCGACTTTGCAGCAGAAGTCAAGTCGCCCGCAGCAACTTGCATGCCAGGCCAAAAGGAGGCAAGACTCTCAACGATAATAGCATAGCTTCCTTTGCGATGATGGCAGCCCGAAAACATGGATACGTCAGTGTACCAGTCGCCGTGTTTGTTGTGTGTCAGCACACTTGGGTAGACTTGCGCGAACATCTCTAACGACTCACGGTCACCAAATAGCTCGTACATCTTCATCAAATACTCATAAAAGCTGTCCGAATTGGCCCCTGGACCTGACGATGCCTCAGTCCAATCACCAGTTCTGGTATCGATATGCTTTCCGACCAGGCCAATATCTGAGCGGTGCTCGAACAGTGCGCGTACAGCCCCGCGCGACGCAGCAGCATACTTAGGATCACCTGTCAGGACACTCAGCATTGTAAACTCGACCGAAAGCGATCCAGCACCAGCAGTTGAGGCGATCGGCGTTTCCCCCTTGGGCACGCCGTGTTTCAAATTTACAGTGCCGTATGGTATCCCCGTCAAAGTGTCGAACGCGGGCATGAGACGGTCAGCAACGTCTACAGCGAGGTGTAAGAGCGCATCATGCTCGTATCCACCTTCTGGATACAAGTTCAGGTCCATATTTATCGCGAAAAGATGCGCTGACAACAGCCCGCCCAGCACTCGGATCGTCGTTTCAAACACCGACACTTCCGTATCTAGATTAAAATCGGCATTTGCCACTACGAGCCCCACAGCTCTTCGGAACTCCGTCGCGTCCTCAAACACAGCCAACGTGTCCAACGTATCAATCAACGTAAGCATCGGTAATCGGCCCAGTTCGAACTCTCCCCCACGACACGATAGCGGTTGCAAATCATCCTGCGGGAACGCATGTCTCAAGTAGCCGTTATACGCATGATAGAACATGTCTCGCACTGTAAGAGTCAGTGCTTTGCGCTCGTCCTCTTCCATAAAATTCCGTGCGGTCGATACAAACTGATCCTGCTGCATCAGCCCGCACGCTACTGGCGAGCACACCGTGACCTCGTACTCACACGGAAAAAGCTCGTTTACAAAGTCCACGTACGTTTCATTGTCTCGAAAAAGGCAGCATCTTACTTGCACCATTACCGATCGAGGGGCGTCACTTTGTTCGCAGAAATCCCCGTGACTATAGAGTTCTTGAGTCATGTAGCCCATGCGGTCCGGTTCTGCGAGTTTCAGCTGGTTGTCGACAGCAACAACTTGCAAAGGTTCAGGCTCTTCACCACTGGATACCCCAAGTAATATACTCTGCTCAACTGTACTGCTCGCTTGGTCTTGAGTCACAGCATGGAACTGACGGACGTGGCGATCGACGCACCACTCATAGTGCCACCATGTACCCGCCACGTGGTACAGCAAACAGCTCTCGCCTTGTATCTGGAGCTTCAACTGGTTCTTGAACGCTCGATGAGCCGGCCCAGAAAGGGTGTGCAGGCCCGTAAAGTCCAGGGGGGGCGGAATCTGCGACTCGACGTGGCTGAACGCTTGATGCTCGGCTTGTACGACGTTTCTAGGGACAAAAAGTAGCGCAATCGATAGAAGAGACGTTGCTGTAGATGCACACCACATGGCAGCGCCTTGTACACAGTGGAACGTGAGTACGAGACGGCCAAGCGAAACTACCAGGCTCTGCGCGTGCGTGTACGATTGCAACGTGTACAATATTTGTATATGCGTTTCCACAGTAAACAATCAGCGTGCGGGGCAGGCGAGTATACGTTTTAACAGGATACGCACGATCCCGCCCGAACCTATCATAATACATCATGCCAATTGAGCTCCACGGCAAAGGTGCGGCGGCGCTGCGGACGTTCCTGACGACGCATTTAAGCGCGGAGCAGCTGAAACGACGCGACGTAAAGGCGCTGCTACTTTCGCTGCCTACAGAGCGAAAGAATGTGCTGCAGATGATCGAGTTACGGCAAGTAGCAGCGCTGCTGAGAGAGTTGCGAGCCGATGAGCCATCGACGCCTAGTCTAGTGTCGCTATTGCGACAAGAAGGAGGCGTTCAAGCTCGAGTTGCCGCTATGTTGATGGATGAGGAAGAGAAGAAGAGGGTGCATGAGAAGGAGGAGAAGAGGAGCAAGTACTTGATGAAGCGACGCAAAGTGCTGCGGCGTCTGGACGAAGATATGCGGTATGACAGTTTGGTCCGCAATGTTACGCCTCAGTCGAACAGAAGAGAGTGGACGCAGTATGAGACAAACGTGCATCAGCATTTGTCTGTTGGCGCTAATATGGTGATGGCTCGGATCACGGCGTTTGGAGCCGTGTACTTTGTGGCTCGAAACGTCACGGACAATGAGACGACGGTGACGTTTTGTTTTTTCTCTGTCTTCTGCTGCTGCTGCTGAAGATAAGACGATGGGCATTTGCTGATTGTGTGGTGATGTGTTGTGTTTGTTTGTTGTAGAGACTTGTGGCTGGACTCGGAGGTGCTATTGTCATGATGGTTATTGAGATGGTGCTGTTCATTGCGCGTGCAGCTAAGATGGATCAGCTCGAGAGGAAGCTTACAAGTGGGTTTTAGAATGAGAGCATCATTTCAAGTGATGCAAAGGGAGGGGTACCAATGTACGAGTGAACAAACGTTCCAACAGGGTTGCATCTTTCGTATTCGTACAGCGCATTGGAGGTGCGTGTAGTCCTGCCTTGACGTGAAAGGGGTTGCAAGTGGCAAGTGACTCAAGGGTGGGTGAAGGACATCATCCATCTGCGAGCTCCCACCACATTCTGCTGGGAGCCGGACCACCGTTTCGTTTGTTATCGGGACCAGTCCAGTCTCTCTTGTAGCCAAGTGCCAGTGTTCGTGCACGTTTGACGGTGGTGTAGCAGCACACTCATCTGTTATTGCGTCTGCTCTTGGCGGAGCACCAACAACATCGGTACAGAAAAAGCTTTGGTCTTTGTGACGCTTGCAAGCAGCGGTCACAGCAAGTTCGTCAAAAACAAATAGTTGCGGTCATACAGCAACGATGTTGAACCGGTGACGTGCATATCTCATGCGCAGGCCAGGGGGTCTCAAATACCCTTTACCCTGTCGCATCGAAGTAGGTGGTTCGCAACTGAGATTCCGACCTGGCATTATTGAGCTCTTTCGAGCCATCACCTACAGCGAGTCACATGTCGATATCGAAGCTAATAATTGAAACTGCGAGTCAGATTGTTTCCAAACGACGTGTATCTATCGATCTGAATCCATGTGTGTGGTGCACCCCATGCCAGTGCATCGTATGCTTCACCGCATCCTTTTTCATTGTGTGGTGCACAGCACAGCCTTAACTTGTGTGGTGCACTCTACCATACAAATCCATCGCTGCAGGTTTGACGACTCCATCGTCACGTGACGTCCAAGCACATGGCTACAGTTCTCTCGACGCCGTCGAGCCAGCGTCTGGCACTTCTGGTACTCCTCATCTTCTCATGCACGCGTGCAGCTGCTTCTTCCAAGTCGACACGTGCGTTCTGCTGTTGTTCTCTTTGCGATATTGACGGCTGTTGGTCGATCTGATTGGTCGTTAATATCCACCTTACTAAGACCTAATATTATCTGTTTGTACCCATTTGCTAGCCGACAACGTGGCGTCCGAAGCGGACCGACGGGGTTTCCAGTGGCTAAATGAAGGCGTCACGCTGACGAATAAAGTGCTTGAGTGGGACCAGCAGCAGAGCTTTTGTTTCTACGAAAACGCGTCGCTGCATGTCCGAATGGACCCCTTGAACAGGTACAAACGGGATCACTTTTCATTCATTTTTGGCCGTTTTTTGCTGTTTTTTTATTTGCTACAGCAGAATCGGGGAGGAAAAAGGTTGTCCGTGGGGACTGACTGACAGGTGAATGTTTGTTTGTGTAGCCCGCTGCAGCCGACGCTTATTCAGACGCTGGGCCAGTCGCGTGAAGCCAACGTGCTGTTCGGATGGACGAACGCCACGTTGTGGTACTTGCAACGCTCTGCTTGGCCGTTGCGTCCAGTGTTGTGGGCTTGGAGTGAGCTGCGGGTTCTGGTGCACAGCTCCAACGTTCACCAATTGAGCTTTACATTTGCACGGTGAGGTTGCTACGGTTTGACTACGATCGAAAAATTGCGGGCCCTTCTGTTCTTACTGTAATGGTATATGTCTGCTGCTATAGCACACCAGGACTACTCTGTCGTAGCGTCATAAATGCCGGGCACATGACTCCAGAGCTTGGGAACTATGTGCCGCTGTATGTGGTCGACGCAGTGGAGTCTTTTCTTTTTGTAGCATGTACGTTGCCCTGTATTGTCTGTCTCTTTTAATAAGTAGGGGATCCATGCACGACTGATGCGCTGACATTAACTGTGATTGCTGGATTTCTTGTCACAAACAGCTAAACTCGTGTGCGAAAACTGTGTCGGCGGCTGCCCGCTTGAATGTGAAGGAGTGCAAGATGTCGATGATTCGTGCATGCTGACGCTCAGTCCGTATCACGCACCATGCATAACGGTCACAGGGCCTGCGAAGCCGTTCATCTCGACGTCATCGCCAGAGTTTGACTTTGATTTCACGTTTCTTACGTGTACGTGCTGCCAGCAAGACATTTGCATACTCTTTATTATTTACGCATGCTTACTAACTTTATGCTGTAGATTTGTCGTGGGTGTATGCGCAAAACTTTTGCGTAGGCCTGCTGCTCTTTTATCTATCAGAGCGGCTTGCACGCTCTCGCACTTTCCACTACATGCTGGGTGCAGTCATGGGAGTCTTGTTATCGGCGCTTCTAGCGCTCTATCTTTTCCAGCGCCAGGCTCGAAATACTACCAACATGTTGCCAGGCGCGCAGCTCTTTTCCTCTCTGGCTGCCTTAGCGACTGTTGCTGTTCCAGTCACTGGCTTCGTGGTCATGCCCAACCTGTATCGACTCGGATCTTGGGCCGTCTCCTACCTAGTGTACTTGTGGAATCGCGAAGTACTGTTCGGTATTCCGCATCTGGGTAAGATTTACTTCGCCTTTTTTGCTCTCTTCGGGTGTGTTCTTGTTTGGTGGTACCAGTGGGGAACGTCGGTCAAGCCACATACGGAGCCGCAAGAAGAAGAAGAGATTGAGGAGATTGGCAATTTGGACGATGAGTTGCCACCACCGACGAATTCGCAGCTGATCATGTCGCGCTCATTAAAGGTGCTGGGCATGACGTTGCTGTTCCACAGCACATCGTCAACTGAGGCATCCCTGTTGTTGGTCCTTCTCGTATCGCTCACGCGTGCCTTCGAGATCATAGCAACCATCGCGTACTTTTGGTATCATTTCGAGAAGCCCGGTCGTCACAGCGCCCTAATCTCGAAGTCAGAGTACGAGAAGCAAGGACAGACCGAAACGGATAAAGCATTGGCGCAGTTGCAGAAGTACTTGAAAGAGAACCCGGACGAGATGGATAAGGTTCGAGAAGACAACGAAATTCGTCTTCGGCGTTTTACCAGAGGCCGCAACCACCTGGATGTGGCCACACGGGAGTCGATGCTTTTGCGTCAGCGCAATCAGAATCGGTCTTTCTGGTCGTACTGCTCCATCCAGTAGTTCTGTACCGTCACATAGTTCCAAATAGAGGCGAAATCACTACGAAGGCATTCTCCAGAACGATTGACGTGTGAAGCGCAAGGCAAGAGCAGATCCGTGAAGCTTTATGCCGAATCGTCGGACTACGGTATTAATGTCATGCGATGAAACGAAAGAAATGGAACAAATGGATTACAATTTACACTTGAAGCGGTCGTGTCAAGCGACTCATTATCAAAATCGTACTGCGCATCTTTCTCGTCTCTTGAGTTTCTCGTCCAGATAGATGCCACTCATACGATCGAGCCCCGGCTTCGAGTCCGGTAAAATCTGCTGCCAGTCTCCAGTACGCCATCCATCTGCCGTTCATGATCTCCTGCCTTACAAGTCGACTTGTCTTCATACGCTGCTTCATCGTCGTCTTTCGTGATGCCGTGCACTCGGGATTCGCGACGAATCGTTTCTTGAAGTCGCTGCCACGAGTAACCGGCCCGAGTTGAAGATAACACAGGAGTCGGAGGACGCTGCGGTGCTTGGTCCTGAAAGTCGAGATAGACAGGCTGCTTTGCAATTCCACGATTCAAGGTCCCGGACCAGCCTCCATCAAACGCGTTTTGCGCGCCGTTCGACCGCCGTTCTCTTCCTCGCTCAAGCGACACAACAGGCACGCGAATCGGTGGAATCTGTGTGTACTGGTAATGACGGTGGCTTCCTGGCCGGTTGGCAATAAGCATTGTGTTGATGGGTGGAAGTAGTCTGCGCGGAGGTAGGGAGAGTGCTGGAATCGGCGAGCACACTCCGGCTGTTGAATAGGAAGGCGGCCTGCCAAGTGCAGTCGCCGGAGTCGATGGCGACGGTGACGGGTGGGCAACCAATTTGCTTTTGATGCTCATCGATGACGACGTGGACCGTCCGCCGTGAGCAAAGCAAAACCCTCCTTTGCGTGCAGTCGTAGTGCACCCTTCAAAGACGCATCGCTTGCCACCACCGTGGGCAATACAGCGACCTCGACTCACAGCGCTGTTGGCACAATTCTCTGCAACGCATCGTCTTCCGCCTCCGTGAGCTTTGCATAATCCCAGACGTTGGGCACTGCTTGTGCAGCCATCGACCGTGCACCGTTTTCCACCACCGTGTGCAATGCATCGTCCGCCAGTCTTCGCACTGCTAGTACAGCTTTTGACTGCACATCGACGACCACCTCCGTGAGCTCGGCAACGAGCACCACTCACCGCACTGCTTGCACACCCGACAACTTGGCAGCGGTGGCCTCCGCCGTGTGCAATACAAAGACCGCCTTTCTTGGCACTGGATCCGCATCCTTCTCGTTGACACCGTCCTCCACCACCATGAACGTAGCATAAACCTCGGCTTTGGGCACTGCTTGTGCAGTCTGAAACTTGACAACGGCGTCCACCTCCGTGCGTCCGACACAAGCCACCAGAAGCCACGTGCTTGTTACAACCTTCTTCATTGCACTTGCGTCCACCACCATGTTGCACGCAGAGTCCATGACTAACAGCACTGCTGGTGCAACGAGGCGACGCACGGCATCTTCGACCTCCACCATGGCCCACACACAAGCCTCCAGATACGACGTGCTTCATGCAGCCTTGTACACGGCAACGTACTCCTGTGCCATGTGTTGGACATTGTCCACGACTCCGAGCGGATGTTAAACATCCAGGAGAGCGGCATGAACGACCAGCAGTGGTCTCAGGATGGAAAGCTTCGACTGCACCGTCATCTTGACCTTGAATATCGTGATCCTCTTCCTCCTCATCGTCATCGTCATTGTCCGTCTCCGACGTGCTTGGGTACTCGGAAGGCCAAACGTCCAGGACGCTTTTGTCGCCAGGGGAGTGTGAAGCAGCGTGTAAAAGCTCGCTGAACTTTGGAGAGGCACGCTTGAAATCATTTGTCATGTCACCGTTCGTTGTCATGGCTACCGCTGCTTGATCGAGTTCGAGTCCTGGGTTATGAGCTGAAAGCGCGAGGCGATGAGAAAGACGTGAAGCGTGTGGCGTTGTGTTTATCTTCCTTCCGGCAGCAACGGCTTCCAGCAGCTGTCGAAAGCTCAGAGTCTCGAGCTTTGAGCTCCGTCGCAGCAGCTCGAATTACGAAAATGAGGCCGTCTTCCTTCGGCTGCTGTCTTGGAGATAGCAATGCGACTTGCAAGAAAGCCGCAAAAATGGGGAGCGACGTGCGTAAAAGACAATGTTTGGGGCATCGTCGAACCATGGATAGAAAGCGCCTTGGGAGCCGCCGTGAGGGACCTGGCGAGAGAGAATGCAGTGGGTTTTCTAGTGAGAGATGGGTTGGGACGATCCTGGGGCGTCGCTGGCGTTTGTCTGGCAGCATTCTCCGACTGTCGGCGAAGCGCCACGAAAGAGGAAAAAGGACGTCCTGTCCCAAATGACCGTTGTCGCCATCGTGACAAGTCCCTGCTTCGAGTCGTTATGTTTCCGGGCTCTTCTTTTCCGCGCACGTCCCAGCCCCTAGTGCAAAAACGTGTACAATAGCAACGAACACACCGCCACCAGAAACAAGAAGCAGTGAGAAGTTAGTCGGTTGTTCGAACGCACTTGTCCTTCCTTCCCTGTCGCAAAACTGCTACCACCCACAGCTCAAGGGAACCCCAAGAGCGAGCGCTATTGGACACCAAACATCCACCCCAAAACACGTCGATTGTTACTCGGTTAAGTAGCCCTCGTCTTCCGTTAACTAGCGGCAATTTAATCTTCTTTTTCGAGCTTGATCTCGAGCATAATCGCGCTCTTGCGCTTCTGTTTCATAAAAGTAGCCGGCGTCTCGAGCTCGATCATGCGCACTTCCGACTCGGCTTTGGCCACAAAGTCCACGAGCGGCACCGTGCAAAAGGCGATTTTATCGTCTTTCGAGATGCGGTCGTGGTCAAAGACCTGGACACTCAGCACGGCAGTCGTGGCGTCGTCGGCAATGAAGGCGAACGTCTCTTCCGGGTCCCACTCGGGGTTGAGCGTGGCGGGGATCGTGGAGCTCTTGTGCACGGTATTGGCGAGCTGGAAAACGACGTAGGGGTCGCTCTTGCCGTTGAAGTCGGCAGATGGAAGGTCGACGGCCTTGATGAGCGTCACGTGTACGGCGTGCATTGCAGGGTGAGAGGAAGACAGGGACGGGGGAGGGAGGGAGGCGTGCACGGTGGAGGATCGGGGCGACGGACAATAGATAGATGGGATCGATTGGTATCTCACAAGCTATACACGTGATGAGGCTTAAGTATCCAACAACTCGAAAATCGTGGGGGAGGAGGGAGAAAAACGCGCAACTTGCGCGCAACATAATGATATTTGTCGCAACTTCGATCGAGTTGCGGGGAAAAAGTGTTGCGGCGCTCGTCGAAAATGCCGAGTGCTCGACGGATCGCGAGCAAAAAGTCGACGTCAAATATGCGAAATTTCGTCGTACGTGACAGAATTCGCACATTTCGAGCACGGACGATCAAGTCTAGCAGGTTCACGATTTGCGCTTGTTCCTGCTTTTTACAGGATAAGCGAGTGATCCGACTGCAGCAAGCTCTCATAGTGACGTGCGACTTCACGGTGCTCCCTGTTTTGATACTAAATCCAGCTCGTCTGTTACAGCTCCTTTTTTGTTGCTCAATCTGCGACATAGCGTGGCACGTACTGCACAGTAACTTCCATCGCACGCCGCGCATTCATTCACTCGGTCTTTCGTCTCGACGACGTGGGCGTCGCAATACGTCGTCTTTCACGATAAAAATCAAACTCCTACTACCCTATCCAGTCTTTCGAACAACGAGGCAACGCGTATCCGAAAGACCGACCACCACATTTTGCAAAGCACTCTATCCGTTAAAGCCAGCGCTATCTTGGCCCTATTTCTCTGGCTTTTATTTCGACTCACTCTATCAACAGCTCCTTCACATACTTTTCCACCTTTCAACGTGCGAAGCTACGTCCCGAACGACGCCCGTCCGTCTGTCCGTCCTCCCGCGTCCTTCTCCTTCCCGACTCATGAGTGGTATCCACACGCTGCAAGTGACGCTCGTGTGTGCAGGCGACTTGGCTGCCAGTGACTTTGGGTTCATGGGCTTGGGCGGCAAGAGCGACCCGTACGTGGTGTTCAAAGTCGGACGCCTGAGTCAAAAGAGCTCCGTCGTCCAGAACAGTCTCCACCCGCGATGGGAACCCGCTGAGACGTTCCAGTTCCAAGTGGACCGGCCGAAAGAAAAGTGCCTCGAAGTGCACGTGATGGACTACGACCGGTTCATGAAGGACGACTGCATCGGCAAGGCGAACGTGGCGCTCGCGCCGTTTCTGGACAAGCGACAGTCGGAGCTCGTGTCGTACGACCTCGAAGTGCCGCCGGACTATGACAAGCAGAAGCGCAAGTCGGTGCTCTTTCTTGAGGTGAAACTCACGCCCAACGAACAAGTGGACCAAGTGCTCGAGCTCTGGGAGAACCAGCGGTACCACATTGTCAAGAAATGGACCACTGACACGCTCATTGCGGGCTCTACGGAGCGCAAACGCTGGAGCTCCGTCACTGATGCCAACATCTCGTCCAATGCTTTTGAAGAAGTGGCGCCCAAGGTGCCGAGTCATCTGAAGGCGGAGGGCTGGACCCTTGATGTCTCACAAGGAGATGACAATGGCTGGATCTATGCGCCGTCGTTCTCGGGGCAGTGGCAAAAAGACCCCTTTACATTAGCAATGGTGAGACGACGCAAGTGGATTAATAGGTGCGCTGCTCCAGATCATCAGTAGAGTCTCGTGCTGCCGTTTTATCTCTTGCTCGAGCCACGAGTTGTTGTTGTTTCATCCCAGTCGTTGGTATCAGAGACTGACTCCAGATACTCGAGTCAGTCACGGTCAGGCGCGAGGCTGGAAAAGCTTCATCATTGCTGCGACAAAGTCGAGAAAGATGACTGACGAACGTCTTATTGTTGTTGTTGTTGTTGTTATTCGACTGAGAATGCAGCTGTGTGCTCCAGAATGTAAGCAGTCATGACTCGTCTTACCCCTTTTTTTCATGTTCTCTTGACTGCCTCGAGCTCCTACTTCATTCTCATGCAAACGCCTTGCTCCACATCTTCTTCTCCTTGTCAAGCTGGCGACATAGACGTTCCTTTAGACGCTCGTCAAGCTTGATGACGACACGGTCCTGTGGTGCTAGAGTCAGCGCGGCCTTGATGTCATCAGCGGCAAGCTCTAGTTTGTTTTCCTTCTCGTATGCCACAGCACGGCGGTAGAGCGCTTTAACACTCTGAGCATCCAGAGCCAACGCTTCATTGCAGTTTCCCACGACTTTCGTGTAGTTTTCCATCTTGAGGTAGCACTGCGCAAGGTTGAGATACAGGCTCAGCTTGATTGCGTTCACCTCCTTCGTGTCGGACTCTGAGAGGTCAAAGAACTTGGACGCGTGGGTCAGGGCCTTCACATACCGTGCTGCCGCATGCTTGTGATTGCCGTCGCGAAAAAGCTCATTGCCTTCCTCTTTGTTTTTGATCACCATGCGCATGCGGTCAGGCTTCTTCAGCTTACGTGTGTCGTGGTCTTCATCATCACCCTCAGCCTGGCGCTCAGCCTCAGCTTTTTGTGATTCTTGCTCAAGTTGATGTTCCAGTGCACTTTCATCGGCCTGAACTGCAGAAAAGTACGCCTCACACGCAGTACGAACCTCCGTCTTAATCGACTGGTGCTTCGCTCGAATGAGTTCAAGTGTAGCCGTCTCTGCTTCCTCTGAGTAAATCCAGTCCTCAGCAGCGTCCAGCAAAGGGTTCAGCTTGGATGTGTCCAGCTTATCTCCATGCTTGCCGCTGCTCTTCGACCGTATCTCGTACACAAAAGACTCGATCGCATTGCGCTCGTTAGCAATAGCTATCAGTTCGGCATCACGAGTCTGGAACTCTTTTTCCAGGGCGACATACTCGGCAAGTACCGCTGCATCCTCGTCAGCTGGGGTCGTATCTGTAGAGCCTGCCACCTTGCTCAAAAAAGCCGCACCCAAAGCAATAGCGGTAGTTGAATCCAGCATACGACCGATCAGCGCCCCATTGCGCTGCTGTTCGATAGGAAATACGGAGAGAATAGCCTCCTGTACAAACGGGATACGAGTGCCGCCACCCACGATTTCAACCGACGCGATATCAGCACTACCAACGCTTTCCTTTGCAGCTTCTAGAGCCTTCTGCAACAATTCAGCGATGCGTGTACGTTCAGCAACACATAGCTCCTCAAACACATTGCGACTCATCGAGATACTAATATCCGCTTCTGGCGCAAGATTCTCTACTGGCACGTTGGCTTCACCGATAGTTGACAACAGCTTCTTGATCTTCTCGCAAGCCTGAAACAAACGTTTGCCTTCTTTCGAATGCAGCAACACATTCAAGCCATGCTTTACCCGCACCTCGTTCTGCAAGTGTTCAAAAAGTCGTCGGTCTAGAGTCTCCGCTCCCAGGTCCAGATCAGCCTCCGTCGCCAACACCGTCTCCCCGTCATGTGTTAGCTTCACTATTGCAACACTCGTGTTGGTGTGGCCCATGTCAACAATTGCAATACAACGAGCAGTCTCTGCAGCCTCCATCGTCACATCTCCATCACCAGAGGAAGGACCAGATGGCGTACTTGCAACTTCTACCGGGTGTTTACAATGGAAGCAGCGTGCTCGTGCGGCATCACGCGAAATGAGCGCCAAGCTCGGGATACCAGCAATCGCAGCAGCTACACGGATCGTGCGTTTCTCCTCATCTCCCCACACCGACGGCACCGCTAATGTCACATGGAACGGCTCATCTCGCACACGTGTCTTTATTTGCGTCACTAAGTTGGCAAACAGCATTCCTGTAAGCTGCTCCACGGTGAACTGCGTCCTGCTGCCGTCTTGCTTTCCATACTCCACACTCGCCACCACGCGACCAGCTTCGTCCACTTCAAAGGTCGGTTGCAGGCCAGGAAGACGCTCCAGCTGGTGCTGCACGTCGGCCAAGTGCCGCTTTCCCACGAGTCCAGACAAGAAGCCGATCGTGTTCCGAGGGTTTGTACTGGAAGATAGAACGGCGGACTCGCCTACAAGGCGCTCCTCGCCCTTGAAAGACACGAGAGACGCAGTAGTCATGCCCCCGAGCTCGTTGAGCACGACGTCGCCGTTATTTTCAGCGACGACGCATCGTGTAGCGCCCTAGTTGGTGTCGAGAACGAATAGAAAGCATCAATTTAGGCGCGCGCCAATCAGGTTATAGAAACAGAGAGAAACGGGGGGGAAATTGGAGACTGGTAGTGCAAGCGTCTCACGTTGTCGATACAGTGCAAAGCAGTGGGATGTAACGTACGAAATCGATGCCGAAGACGCGAGGGGAAGGCGCCGTAGCCATTGGACTCAGCAGATCGCAATGTGCAGATGAAAGGATAAATGTAACTATCCGTCTGCGATGGATATTATCCACTCGATCTCACAGATATGCTGTTGTTTAGGTCGTCCACATTTCGATGTGGACCACACGAACCATGAACTGACCATCACTCATGAAACGGCAAGTTCAAGTGGCTACAGCTGCTCGTCTCACGTACCCCGCCGCTTTGTTCGTCTATTTGCAGATTGTTATTGGCAGTGTGCAGAGAGAGCCCGAGGTAGGTGTAAAATCATGCAGGAAGCGAGCGCATTATCCACGTCTCAACGACTTGTGTCGGTTCTAGAGACCTTTTCCAGAGGCGCTGCGACGGTCGAGGAGCTGGAGTACACGGCCGAGCTGTTGATTGCTACTTCAGAGGAGGAAACAGCTGTTGTGGACAGAAACGAGCTTGTTGCTACTTTAGTCGAGGTCCTGGAGGGGATAGAGTTCCTCAGTACGGCGCAGCTATTGGCCGTTGCGGAAGAAGCGGCAACTGTTCTACTAGGGGATGTATCGAAGAGTGACGGGAACGAGGAGAGTCACTCGAACGAGGGAAACCGGTCACGCAAAAAGCGACTTGAGACGCAATTTGCGATTGGAAGCGACTGTCTTGCAGTGCTTGAAGAGGACAATGCGTGGCACCCGGCACGGATTCGGAAACACATTGAAGCGCGTGATAGTGATACGGAAGATGCAAGTGGAGATGATGGCCGTGTGATTCATTTGGAAGTGGAGTTTCTTGAGTTCGGAAAGAGACAAATTGTCCACGAGACGGACGTGGTGCTGAATGAAAACGTCGCAGGCGGAGAAGAAGCGGACGATATGAAGGGGCGCTGTGCAATGTGTGAACGTCCGATGAATCTGACAGCTCATCATGTTATTCCACGGGTTACGCACTCAAAGTATCTGCGTAAAGGGTACACGAAAGAGTTCCTCAACACGTGCATTCTGATCTGTCGTCAATGCCATAGCAAGATCCACTCGGTTGAGGACAACGTGACGCTTGCACGCGACTACAATACGCTTGATAAGATCATGCAGCATCCACAGATCATTGCGTGGGTTGCATTTGCACGGAAGCAAAAGGTCCGCATGAAACCTCAGAAGCAAAACAGATGGCTCGTGAGGAAGTGAGTGTGACGTCTATAGAGTACGAGCGCGCGTTGTCTGCTTTTGGTGATGCCTTATTTTACCACGCGATGGTTGACGCCTCGAGACAAAGTACATATTGCACCTTGTGGAACACGCTGTACTTCTCTTGTGCATGACGTTGGTTCCTCCATCAACCTTCTGGGTGTCGTATACATCAAGTAGTGCTGGCTTAGTTTGGGAAGGGATTACAAGGCTACTTGAACCAGCAGAGTCCTGGCTACCAAAGGAGCTCGTGAATGAACTGCAGATGTTGCTTGTGCTACTCCACATCGGCGTGGACTTCTGTCACTGAAGGTTGCGACACAACTTCAGACTTGAAGACTTGGACATCTCAAATCTACTGGCTGAGCGATAGAGCGTGCACGTTTGCCGGATATCCACCGCACTTGTACAAGCCTTTGTGCTGGATTTCCTCCTTCTCTACCGGTGCTGTCAGCTTGACATAGTGCACGCCGTGTCCTGCTTCAATTTAGGTACTTGGTACACGACATGTACGAACAGCCCTTCGGCTGATCGTCCTACGGCCAAGCACTCCATCAGTGGTAGCCGCAGAGGCTTGCGAGCACATGACCCTAGTAAGGTGAATATTTTGATCATCAACGTCACGTCATGGCTTTCGCAACACGTACTCGCTGCCTGGCAGACGCCATTAAACACCGTAGATGAAGAGCAGTGTAGCGCAGTGATGATCTCGGCGGATGAAGCGGATTTACAGGGGTCATGGCCGTTGAAGCTTGTACAAGGTGTTTGGCCACAGGCCACTGCCGATGTAGTGAACAGTCCCATTTGCTTGCATGGATCACGAACCGCTCTTCAGTGCGTGATGTTGGAACCATGTGGCTTCCAAGATCGTCTAGGGGGGATCGGAAGAAGTTGATGAAGCCTCGCACTGGAGCTGGATGATGACACGAAGCCTTTGGTCGTTCGTTTCGCCGTTTCTGCCTTGAGACAAGTCAGCCGCAACTACATTCGCGATATACTTTGCTGACGACTCGACGAATGCTGCTGTGCCAGACACTTTGACGCCTGAGTTAGGTTTCGTTTCAGCAACACTAATGGCGGCATTCGCCCATAAGCAACAGTCTCGTAAGAAGTAGACCGACATACGTGTGACTTCCACGGGTTTGACGGGCTAATGATGACCTCATGCTCTATGCTCAAGCAACGCAACTGTTGGTATCTGTTGCCTGCCACTACCGCAAAAGGGTAAAAGGGTTCAGCATGGCTATCACAACCTGACTAGAGATGACGGCTAGATACACTTCTGGTGCAAGTGAAGCTTGACACCAGTACATCACTTGATATGGTACTAAGCAGAGATTTTTTACAGACGCTATTGATATTGCAATGCAAATGCGCTTGAGTACAGGTGGTTGACAAGTGATAAGCAACAAGTGACAGGACCTTGACCTCTTGTATTGCTTATTGTGGCTTTCACGCTTCCTCATGACGTTCCAGCAACCTCAAAGACGTAGCATAAACTCACCCGTATGGACGGATGCCGACCGTCGCCATCTGGACGCGCTGCACACACACTCAGGCGTTCTGCGCAACCTCAGCGATCGACTGCGCGATGTATTCAACGTTCTTGGTCGTCACACCAGCCATGCTGACGCGACCGTCCTTGGTCAAATAGATGTGATGCTCATCGATCATGCGCGCCACCTGCGCCTCGGTGAGACCAGTGTAGCAGAACATGCCAATCTGGTCCGTGATGTGGCTCCAGTCCGAGCTGACATTGTTCGCAGCATCGATCTTCTCAATCGCCGAGCGAAGTGCCGTGCGCATGGAAATAATGCGGTCGGCCATGTGCTTGCACTCACTGTACCACTGCTTCTTGAGCTGCGCGTCCGACAGGATCGTGGACACAATCAGCGAGCCGTGAATAGGTGGGTTCGAGTACATGGGGCGAATAATAATCTTGAGTTGTGACAGCACGCGGTCGGCTTCCTCCTTACTGGAAGTGACGACACTCAGAGCACCCACGCGCTCGCCGTACAAACCAAAGTTCTTGGCGTATGACTGCGAAAGGAAGATGTTGTGACCTTCCTTGACAAAGTGGCGGATCGCAGCAGCGTCACGCGTTGCGTCGCCCGAGGCAAATCCCTGGTAGGCGCAGTCAAAGAACGGCACGTGCTGTTTAGCTTTCATCACCTCTGCAATCTGCATCCACTGCTCGATCGTCGGGTCCACTCCCGTGGGGTTGTGGGCGCAAGCATGCAGCAAGAAGACGGACCCATCAGGAGCGCCCTCCAAGTCGTTCAAGAGACCGGAAAAGTCGAGACCGCGAGATGCTGGCTCGTAGTACGTGTACCGACGCACTTCCATGCCAGCATTCTGCATAATGGGAATGTGGTTGCCCCACGTTGGGTTGGGCAAGTACACGGGCGTGTCTTTGCCCAGAAACCTGGAAAAGAACTCCCCGGCGAGACGTACACCGCCCGTGCCCGAGATCGTCTGGACACCAGTAATCCGACCTTCTCTCAAAGCTTCACAGTCTTCTCCGTAAGCGAATTGCAGCGACAGATCGACAAAGTCCTTCATACCAGCAATACCCGCGTACTCCTTGTTCTTGCCAGCGGCCATGATGCGTTTTTCAGCTTCTAGCACTGACGGCAGCACGTACGGCTTGCTATCGTCATCACGGTAGGCACCGACGCCAAGAGATACCTTACGAGGGTCCGTATCCTACGAAATAGTAACAGTTATCGTAAGTTTAGATGAAATTGTGTGTAACTTTTAGCATAAAACAAAAGACAAGACTTCGGAATAGTCGGGTCTGAATTTTCAAGGGCACCTTATTAAAGCGCTCCGTGAGCCCTAAAATGGGGTCGGCTGGGCCCATGGGTACGCTAGCCAGCCACTGGCCGGTTGAAGCCTTAGTGGCAAGATTGCGTACAGCTTGGAGAGGGGAGCAGCGAGAGAGCATTCTGCTTGCACAGACGAGAGGAGAGGGTGGGGCTCGAGATTTTCAGGAGTGGTCGACAGCCGTACAAGCGACGGATCTTCCCATCCAATCCTCGTTGAACAACGTTTTGTGGCCGAGCCAGTAAGGAATGGGATGCTTAGAAGCGGTTTAAAGACAAAAATGACTTGACGTGTACTACAAAACGGAGAGCTCGGACTTGTTTTTATGTTTCCGCAGGTTTATCACGTTTGCTGCAGTCCGTTCATGCGATGATAAAGATGAAGTCGAGGGTAAAGGACATTTTATTTTTCTCGTCGCGCTTCTACAACGCCTTATAAGGCCTGACTAGGCATTGGAAAAAGAAGCTGCACGTTCGTAACGTGGTGCGTTTTGTTGTATTACCCTCGTCAAATCTAGAAACGGCTGTATCGCAAATGGCTCTTTCTTGCCCGCGACCGAAAATGCTACCCTGTTGCCAAAAATGAAAATGGAGGAAGGTCTGTTTAGAAGATGCTTGTAGGCTATGTAGACATAAGTATCCGACGAAAAATACATAGAGAGCTGTATCTCCGTCTTGAGCGATAGCTTGCAAGTTTCTAGATGCTAAATCCTGTTTTTGTTGCCTCTAGCAAGCTCCTCCTACTAGCCTTCTTCTAGGAACCGTAATGGGCTTCTTTGGGTCGGGTGGCATTTCTGACCCGGACCGCCTTCAATGCAAGTCGAATTTCTTTTTTGAGGCAAAGTCAAATGAAGCTGCAAGGTCGCTAGAAATACTGAAGAGAAACCCACCAACATGTAGAGCTCTTAGCGACCAATGCGTGCATGTGCGCACGCTGCGCTGACGCTGTCAAGGGGTCGAGCCCTCGCTGGACACGTAGCATTCCACAGACTGACTCGAGTGTTTTGTCCGTGACCCCCCTCCCTTTGAGACTCTTCTGTCCCACTCAGCACATCCCCAGTCCCTCGCCGCAAAGCCGGTGCGTCTCTGTACCGATCGGTTCGGGCCCTCCAATTGGTGGAGACGCAAGTCGACTTTCTCTACTGTCTTCGTAATGTGCTTGCTGATTGGCGGAGTTTGACAAATGTCCGTTTCAGTTCCTGTCCGCTCGGTGCAACTCCATACAAAGACCAAGGTAAAAACGAAAAGGAAGGGCCGCCTGTTGGCCGAACGACGACGACACGGACGACAGCCAGCCCAGCCGAAGACGAGAAGCTCAACTTTGAATTATCTTCCACCGAAGCTTACAACGGAATTTCCAGCCCAGCTCCCAAGTAAAGTTCCACGCGATCCTCTTCCTTCCACCTCCGTCTCTCTACGATGCCGACTGCCCCGTCGTCCAAGAAGATCCACGCCGGTCCTGGCTACTACGACCTTATCAAGGAGGCCGTGATCATGCTCAAGGAGCGCTCCGGCTCATCGCGCCACGCGATCGACAAGTACGTGGCTTCCAAGAAAGGTTCCAGCTACTCCAAGTCTCGATTGAACATCGCACTGAAGCGGGGTGTCCAGTCTGGTAAGCTCGTGCCGGTGAAGGGTTCGTTCAAGCTGGCCACGGTGGAGAAGAAGGCAGGAGTCAAGAAGCCGGTGGTCACTGTGTCAGCCAGGAAGGTCGTGGCTGCAAAGCCCGGGAAGAAGTCGTCCCTGAAGAAGACAACGGCCAAGAGCAGCAAGAAGCCTGCGCTGAAGAAGGCGGCAAGCAAACTTGCTGCGACCAAGAGAGCCAAGCCTGGCAAGAAGCCGGTGGCCAAGAAGAGTTTGGCCAAGAAGGTGTCGACGAAGAAGCCCAAGACGACGAAGAAGAAAGTGGTCAAGAAGTCGGCTGCGAAGAAGAGTGCTCCTGCGGCAAAGAAGTGAGCCGCGTTGTCTCCTCCCTCTCTCTCTCTCTCTGACCAAAGTACTTTGTGTCCCGTCCAAGGCTGCGGTGCCACCCCATGTCTCGATAGCTTCTTTATTCTTATTATTCCGTGAGGAATTGCATGATTTCTAAATTTAGCGTTTTCAAAATTAGCCTTGCGGGCTTTTGTGTTTCGTCAATTTGTTCCGAAAGGTTTGGTTGAGCTTTGTATCAAAATTCGCAGCGGAACCCAACTGGTAGTGTTGCAAGTCCCACGCGGCCATGCGCAGTTTTACAAATGGACCCGAAGTGGCTACTTTTTTTATCGCCAGCTTTTGTTCTAAGCAGTGATCGCGACCCTCAACTGCTTGGCATTGCTGCCAAACTTTTGGATGTGATGTACATTTGTGCTGCCGAGCCTTTGCGTTGCTGCCGTCAGCACGTTGGTTTCGTACCAGACGAATCTCAGCTCGATGCCCAAAAATTGGGTCGTCCCTTCTTTTATCGATTCCTACTGGCTCTGATAAATACGGCACTATTTTGCTGCAGAATTGCGACTGCTTTTTCCAGGCGCACTCTGACGGACTAGAATAGAACCAAACGACTCTTTTGATCTGATTTCTGCAGCTTTCCCAGCAGGTTTTGTCCATTCACACGCTCTCATGTACTCCCGTTTTACTAAACTTGACCCGCTTCTTATTTATTCGCAAGACCTTTCTCCAGCTCGCGCTCGTCGCGCTTTACGAACTGCCACTAACAACCTCACCAAACCTTAAAACCTTTTTTTTTCTCTTCTCTTTTAAACAACTAACCCCCCCCCCCACACCCCCCCCCCCCCCCACTTTTGCCTAACACGAAACGTTTCTTTCCTCTTTTTCACTTGGTCTACTACGACGCGCGGGTTCTACATGCTGTCGTGTTTCCTCGACTTCCTACGATCTTATGGCGTCATGACTCCTGCTAGTTATGAAAACTTGAACAAAAAGTATCGAACACTATTTATGTAGTGCTTCCTCTGCCTGGACCGATCAGTTCCTTTACAGGTGGCAATAAATTCGTTTTTCTTTCTCATTTCCAAGTACATAGCACCCCCAAACGTCAGTCTTGCAAGAATGAGCAACGGGCAGGGAGTGAGCGCTGCGCAGCAGAAGTGGTCAATTTCACTGGTCTTTCCACAATCGGCAGGTGTTTAACCGGTGTCCACGCCGTCATGTTTTGCCAGTAAAATCCTACAAAGTGGTGTGCCTAGTCCACGAGTACTCAGCAGGTACAGAAAATCGTAGGCTGGAGTGCGAGGAGCATCCTAAACGAGCATTTGATCCAGCTCCAAATGAACAAAGCTGCAGTCCTCAGCCATTGCATCGTCGAGTAATTCCTTGCTATGCATGCCATAGCATCGCTACATGAGTCGTAACTCTGTCAACGCATCTTGGTTAAATCGCTGTGAGCCGTAACGCTGGCAGCAAAATACAAACGGAGGTGACTGAGAGCGCGTCTATAAAGGTAAAAATGAGCGGCCTTTCAACTACGACTTGGATTACTGTTTCAACGAGAGGTGCTGTTGATACATTTTCTCAAAAAACATTGATAGTTACACATTTAACTTCCGTTTTGCTCAGGCGAAACTGATTTCCACCCGTATGCCACCACGGAAGTAACAGCTCAGGACAATGGTGGTCACTACCACCTCTTTGTGTTTGTCATGCCGTCCGCGACACCACCTCCATATCTTTCTCCGAGACGGAGAGTCTTGCAAAGCCGAATTCGAGGCTCGATGAATTTGAATTTGGCGTGCTGTGGCCTTCTTCGCGGCAGCACTTGCAGTGTGTTTGGTGAGTGTGATGTCGTGCATGGTGTCCAGGTGGTCTTAGGTAGCTGTACTGCACTTCGTCATGATCAGCTCGACAGGGTGCGTCCTGCCGTCCTTGTTTCTCACGTTCAAGTGCTCCCTTTACTAAGATTACAAATAAGGTGCAATTGATCTCCACGTGCGCACGCAGCGAAAGAGTGAGACGTTTCAAGCGCAATCGAGCAAGGTATGATAAAAGATAAAGTAGGCTGGTCACGACACACTCGTATTGTTGTCACATATCTGTATTTGTGTCGAGAGGATTCATCGGGCTTGTAGACACGAGATCTCAAAGTTAAAGTATTGCAACCGAGTTCCAACAGCAAAAGAAAGCTGCAGCATGTCCACGCTTGTGACGAACCATACAGTAAACTACACCATGAAAGCAGTGACAGCCGTGAGCTATTTAACAGCTAGCCAATGTCGACTTTGCATAAATATTCCATCACTTTGATCAATGCCGTCGTTGTCACAAATCAACACGATTGTTAAAATCCTTTCCCCAATAGCTGCATACAAGCACGCGCGGTAAAAGTGCAAAGGCGTCGGTGCAACTGGAATGTTGTGCTGGATAATACAGCTATGAAATCAATAAATCGATTGAAGGTCACACCCTCAGTGTAGCGGTGTGAGCTGGTTACGTGTAATTAACCCTTGATACGTGTTAATAAGAATATGATCATTAAGGTTGACAAATTCGTGAATATCTCAATCAGGAGTAATTTTCAGTAACACTCGCCGATTGGCTGACATGGGTCATCATCATACCAGCCAGCTCTAGCGGCCCAATCAGCGATCGACGTTCACAATGAGTGGTGAGCAAGACTTTAGCTTACATTTTTGTAGATATGCATAAAAAAGTTAGGACTAAATGTAACGGGGTGAATCGTTACATAACAATTTATAAGAAATTGTTCATAGAATATAACTATAAGAGTTGTATTCACAGAATATTGTCATAAGGACAAATATTCTGTAGCACTTACGAGTAGTTCCTAATTGGTTGATAAGGCCATTATATCAACCAACGGAGACGCGCCACGACAGACGCACGCAATGAGTGGTGAGCAGATATTTGATATGCACATTTGTATTCAGACATAGTTAGATGAGGATAAATAGTGATTTTTAACAGACATTAACTATTATAAATACAGTTCTACTTTTTACTTTAACCAAGTACTCGCTTCTCCTTACCGTCTTCCTCTGCACGTACGAGTGTACGTGAAGTTCCGAGGCACCGCCTTATTCTGTCATCAGAATAAGTAGCTTGTACTGTCATCAGTACAAGCTTCAGGGTGCCCCGTTACACCTGGTAGCACTTCGTAGTCCGTCCAAGGACCACGTTCACATCTAACATGAATACGTTAGATGATGACTAAGACCAAAGCTTTCACGCTACGCGTGACGGCTACTCCCATTTGAGCGATGTCGAATGGGATGCGGTTGAACGGATGGGTTCAACCATGGGCATCCATGCTGTTAGCGTCATGCTAGAGGCTCTCAATAGAGATGCCCAACATGCTACTATCGCCAAGTTCATTCAAAATGAACTTGACGCTGAACGCGAGAAAGTAGCCTTGCTTCACCAACAAGGTTCTCAACAAGCAGAGTTGTTGAGAGAACAAGGTGCTCAACAGTTTGAACTGTTGAGACAGCAGCAGGCTGCTGCTGGCGGGTCGATGCACTCGCGTCGACCCGAGACTTTGAAGATTGACATCTCAAAGTATAGGGGGGTCGAAGAAGACTCCCTCTTGAGATGGTTCGTCGAATTGGATGACGCCATAAGGGCGCGTCGCATCGACGACGGGGATATGCAAGTTGCATTTGCCCAATCAAATCTGGCAGGACGTGCCAAGACTTGGGCACTGGGGCTCAATTTGCACGACCCGTTTGCGTTAGGGTCGTTGGAAGTCTTCGAGTCGCAACTCAGACAAACGTTTGAACCGCCTAGAGCTGAGTTCAGAGCTCGAACTGAACTCTTGAAGCTCAGACAAGGTAAACGTGATGTGCACGCTTACGCACGACATGTACGACATCTCACGAGTTGTATAAGTTCCAATCCGGTGGATGAACACACGTTGGTTTCGGTGTTCATGCAGGGTCTTGCGGATGGTCCCGTCAAGACTCACCTGTTCCGACTTGAACTAGATTCACTAGAACAAGCCATTTCCATTGCGGAACAGGAAGACTTCAGTCTGAGACAGGCTTGCGCCAGCTCGACATCATATCGTCAACCAAGACGATATGACAGCGGAGGTCCATAGCCGATGGAACTCTGTTATGTAGAGAGCGAGAAGGCTCGCTCTACAGACTACAAGAAGTTGCAGAAATGCAACAGATGTCAAAGACAGGACACTACGCTTACGAGTGTATTGCCCCTCGTCCAGTGTCTCGCAACACTGGGCGTAATGACCGTCCACCCATGAGAAAGGGGCAGGGACGCGGGTCCGCTGTTGGTGCAAAGACGCAACAACGGGATGGACCGTCAAAAAACGGACAGGATCAGTAGGTGCGGAGCACCCTACTGGTCTAGCAACGTCAAGAGAATTTGTAGGCCTCTTGATGAAGGTTGCTCCCACACACAAACATTGTGCGTTGCTGATCTAGGTAATGAGATCTTACTCATTACCTTGAAACTCGAAGTGACGAATGAGTTGTACCTTCGAGCTCTAGTCGATTGTGGAGCGTCCAACAATTTTGTGCGTCGCCAATCGCTAAAAGATGGTCACTTTAAATTCAGTGAATGTGACACAACTCCTACGAGGATGACGGCACGTCTTGCGACAGGCGCATCCGTAACCGTCATGAAGCGTCTAGTGAAGATCCACTATACGCTAGAAGATACCCAATATGACGATGACTTTATCGTATAAGATTTGGATGACAAATTTGATGTCATCCTTGGTCTGCCATGGCTCAGAAGGTACGAACCACGAGTAAACTGGCAACATCGAACAGTAACGATGCCTGCCGCTTGTTCATCAGATGGCCATCTGATGAACGTTTTGGAGCGTCCACAAGCGTGTGGATGTACTACGAGTGAGGGTGATGGCCTCACTTGTGGTACGGTCGTTAGTACGACTGCACAAAACCTTAGTATGACAAACGGTTACACTTCGGAGCAAAGTTCCGGCAGCTGTGAGGAAACACAGGCTGCGCCGAAGGTCC